ATACCATGTAATGCATCAACCCAACCATCCTTGTCGTTCTATGCTGACTTTATCTCAAAATGATCACCTCAGGGGACATCCACTCAAGTTAAAGACCCATAACAGCCACCTTGATTGCCGGTATCACTCGTTTGCATTCAGTGTGCGGTGAGTGGAATTCTCTGCAATCCCATGTAGGGCGTGCTTCTACGGCTGAAATACTTCGATCGTAACTTGATAAAGCAGTAGAACACTTAACATTTCGACATCCGTGAGTGATTATGCATACTATTATTGGGCATGATATCCTTGGCTTTGTTATATCGGCCATAATAAAACTTTGACTTTGACTTATACAGATATTGAGCGACGCAGATACCTCCTTTCTCAAAACCATTGTTAATTTTTGCAGTGGATAGCTTCATTCAAACGTAACGATGTTTGAATATGAGCTTTGTGCGAACCAAGCACAATATAAACTAGTCCTTACAAACAATATCGAGGGAAACCGTAAAGGTACCCTGCTGTGGTCTACCATTGATGAAACTGTTGACTGCAGGTACCTATGGTGTTATTGACTGATTAATCGATACTGACTGCTGTCAAAAACACGTACGCACGCACGCCACACGGAGCCGGTCCGCTTTGTAATCGATATATCTCAGCGGATCGGATTTCTGTGTTGGTCTTTTCGAGCTGAATGTTCCGTTGTCTGTTTAACTGCCCTGCATGACCGCGCTCCGATTGCATGTAGCGTTCGCGTTTAATATTTTCACTTCCATTTCGCGCACATGGACATCTACACATGCATTTATGCCGTAGTTACTCATACTAATAAAAGGGGTTCCATGCATAATGCATTCTTTCAACGTTTGTATGGGAAACCTGACTCAATATACCTTTTCCTCTAATACACATGCACAGGGCCTTTGAAGTTGACTGTGCCTTTCTGTTCAATGAACATACACAGTCAAACAGCGATATATATATATATATATAGTGGTTAAATTCAATGTTTCCGTTGTCTACATGAAATGCTACTTCCCGAGAGTCGTGTTCAGAGTCGAAGGCAGAGGGCAGGATACCTATACAGGCCCCGTCACCACTGGGTCAAACGTCTAATCACATGTGATCGTTTCTCCCTAGCCCCATGCGGTACTCATCCAGAGGTCGCTTGAAAACAGCGTCGGTTAGCTCCTCCATCACAGTCACTTGAAGGGAATCCCAGAGGGTTGTTGACTTCAACGAGAGTTGGCACACCAACGGCAGATCAACCGACTGAAGTTTCCGCAACGTGAGAGTGCCCCCACATGGATTGCTCTGTCCGTAGCGGGAAACGCTGCTGCAACTCCCGGCCTATGTCACCATTGAAAATCTTCCTCAAACCGATCAGAGCTCNGCACCGATATGTAAGTGGGAATAAACCAGTGGCCTGCAGACGGCCTTCAGGGCTGGTCCCACCTGGTCAAGCAACTAGTTTAGTGACAACGTTGTACACACTACAGCTGGGCCACTTTACTGGTCGTGCACGGGTATGTAGCCGCACTACTGTGCTTAAGTATCGGTTCGACGTGGGAAATGCACCGCAATCCTAGGACGTTCATCGTAATTCAACCAGTGAGTCCCAGAATGCTCCGCACATTGGCGAAACCTCGATTGGTGTTTTTTCGAGTATTCAGTTATGACGTCACCATGAATCATAGGTCTCTTTCGAACAATTTTCTTCACAATGCGGTTCATTGGATGCTGTAACTGTTGTGCTGTTTAACGCATTTGTTCGATAACATTTGTATTCATTGCCCCCTTGAACGCGCAACGTCAATACTCGATACACACACACAGACACAGACATACACGCACGTGACATGGACGTTCCTCACATGCAACCTTGATTACATTGACCAATCAGACTGCACCACGTTTATGCTTGGTATTGATTGGATGACTGCAGATTACTTGTACGGCCAGTACCGGCTGAGGACATGCTTCTGCTAATTTTCATGAATCACGTTGCTAGCGTTCTCTGCTAATTAAAAAGGATTTACTTACGTGTATATTACGAGTTCTACTGAATACAACATTTGGCGTCGCAACATGAGTTCAGGAATTACTGCACCTGCTCCATTTTGAATAGACCGTAACATTCAACCTACTNCAGAGTCCTGGGAACAATGGAAAACTTCGTTTAACAATTATATCGATCTCCTGCCTGTGCTAAATCCATTGATTGTTCTGGATGAAAGCCACAAGTTAAGGCTTTTGCCTCATTTGCTCGGAGACGAAGGACAGCGAAAATTTGACGATCTCAATTTACAAGCGTGGTCCAACGTACAATCTGCTCTCAGCAGCTTGGACCGTTCCGTGGGGTCGCAACTGAATGTGTTCACTGCTCGATTCCGATTCTCTCGCATTATTCA